TGACAGGTACTTGAAAGGCGGTCCATGAGTTCTTGTAATAGATCTTCATTGTGGGCTATGAGGCAGCATCATCAGTGAATAGAAGTTCCCTGATTAGCACCTTTTTGACTTTGGTTTTTGACTTAAGTCAGGACAGGTTGAAGAGTTTCCCATCTGATTTTGTGTGGAGATAGACTCCATCTTTCATGTCCTTAAACTCACAGTTCAAGGGTATTGAGAAGAAGATTCCAAAGAGTGTAGGGGCAAGAACACATCCTTGCTTCACTCCACTTTTCATCTCAAAGCTGTCTGAAGTGGACCCGTCAAACTGGACAGTTGCTCTCATATTGTTGTGGAATGAACGTATAAGACTGAACAGGGTTGGTGGACATCCTATCTTTTCTAGTATTGCTAGTAGACTTGCTCTGCTGACTGTGTCAAATGCTTTGGTTAGGATGACAAAGGCAATGTACAATAGTCAGTTTTGCTCCCTGCACTTTTCTTGGAGTTGATGCAGAGAAAATATCATGTCTATAGTTGATCTTCCAGCCCTGAATCCGCACTGTGATTCAGGGTAGACATGATTCGCCAGCTGTTGTAGGTGCACTAAGATGACTTTTGCAAAAGCTTTTCCTGCTACATTTAGTAGCGAGATAGTAGCAAGTTGCGAGTTGTTGATTTCCGCTGAGATGCCATCTTTTCCAGGAGCCTTGTCAAATCTATGACCTTGCTTAGCTCTTCTACAGTGGGCTCCACATCTAGCTCTGGCATGACCTGTAGAGTTGGCTTTTGGTCCAGTGATTCGCTGGTGATGTTTCTTTCTTGTGTGTATAGCTCTGAATAGTGTTCAACCCAATGAGACAACTGCTTGCTTTTATCTGTAATGATTTCACCGCTGTGCGATTTGAGAGGGGCAACCTTGTTGACAGTGTATCTAGAGCTTTCTTCAGGCCGTCATACATGACTTTGAGGTTTTCTGTATCTGAGGCTGTCTGTATCTCTTCATAGAGCTTGATCCAGTAATGATTTGCACAGCGTCTGCTTGCTCACTGCATCTCGGTTTTTGCATGTCGAAGTCTCACTTTTGTGCTCTCTGTTGGCTTCTTGTTGTGTTCCAGATAGGCTGTGTTCTTAATATTGATGAGAGCTAATAGTTCCACTTCATTTTCTTCAAACTAGTCCTTTTTTGGTGGTCTCTTTCCCCCAAATGTAGCTAAAGCTGTTTCATGGATTGTTGTTCTTAAATCCTCCCAAAATTCCACTGCCTTCTCTGGTAATGACTTCCCATGCATGCTAAGTTCAAAAGCCTGCACAAACTCCTGGCATTTTGGTGTTAATAGCATTGATTTTGGGCTTGCTCCTAGGTTTTGCTCTATGTAGTTTCTTGGCTGTAATCTTCACTTTGCTAATAACCAAGGAGTGCTCAGTGTCACAATCAGCGTTGTGGAACGTGCAAGTGTTCTGCGCTAAGGGTAGGTCTTTTCTCCTGATGATAACAAGGTCTAATTGGTGCGAGTGGCTTGATCGTGGATGTCGCCAGGACACTTTGTGGTGACCTTTTCCTGTAAAATATGAATTGGTAATGCACATTTGGTTTTGGGCGCAGAATTCAAGAAGTCGTTGGCCATTGTCATTCACCTTGCCAATGCCAAAATGTCCTAGGCAATCTGGCCATGAGTTGTTGTCTGCACTGACTCTTGCATTAACGTCACCAAGGAGGAAAAGTTGCTCAGTTGATGGTTTTCTTTTGACGACTTGATGCAAAGAGTGGTAAAATTTATCCTTCTCCTCAGGGCTAGATTTGAGTGTTGGTGCATAGGTACTAATGATGTTCAGAGTGTCTGCAAAAAATTGCCAATTTCTCAAATGTATTTAGTTTTAGAAATTATTCACAAATTTGTTCAGAAATAATTCTTGATCTGCTTTCATGAACAATTCATTGTGAATATTTGAAATGCAAAATTTGCTCTGGGTTGGTTAGTTACATAAGTCATACAGAAATGTCATGTTTGACTGTAAAATGTACATGTCACAATTCAAAATTTGCACTGTTGATAGTAAATGAACATGAGATATTTGAGGACAGCAGCTGATCCAGTTCTTGCAGCGATTGCTGGGCCTGTTGAGTCTGACACTCAAGTACAGTGAGAAAGGACTTGATCCTGCAAGGTCCTGGCTCTGCTCACCAAAGTACTTAACTATATGCTTAACTTTGAGCACATGAAGTGTCCCACGTGCTTAACTTTAAACACTTGAGTACTCCCATTGAAGTCACTGCACTATTCACCTGCTGAAAGTTAGGTGCTTTGGTAGATTGGATCAGAGGGCTTACAAGCTTGTAGGATTAAGTCCCAAATGACCAAAGGTAGGACCTGTTCAGGATTTTGAAGGTGCGGGAGGGATATTAGATGAATTTGTTAAAGGTTTGTTTTGATTCATGGAAGGGATTGATCTTCCAGCTAGTTCTTAATTTTAAGAGCTGATTTGTCTATGTCCATACTTTCCTTGTTTAAAATAGTTACAAACAAAAGCCATAGTCCTGCAAGCTGCTCAGCACAGGTGGAGCCCTCCACTGGTACAGAACCCCATGGAGTGAATCTTGCAAGGGGCTGAGCTCCCCCAACTCCCATTGTTTAGAAGTTGCAAGTGCATAGTACCCTGTAGTTCAGGATTGAGAGATTGAGCCACAGTAGTGTATTTAAAGTTGCTCTTTACTTTTTCTGTTAAATTCACGATCTACTAAATTTACCCATCCATACTCAAGAATTAAGTTTAAGGACTGTAAAAAGAATACATTTAAATTTAATTTTATTATTATTTATTTATTTATGTATTACAAATGAAGAACATTTGTAAAATAGGTTTATGGCGGTATATCAATACAACATAATTAATTGCTTTTGTAGAAATCTTATTTTATTCAGAAATAAAATCTGTCAACTGCTTTAGTTGTGATCATAACACTGCAAGGATGAAGAGGAAAATTAGTAAAAATGGTTAGATTGTTAATGCTCTTTTAAAAACTTGCCTTTTTCTCACTGTATAAAATTTGCTTTGGGTTAAGGCCATGGAAAGTGTTACTGTGGAAACTGTTACTGTGAGGCTGGTTGGCATGGAGATAAATGTGAATTCCAGTGTGACATCACCCCATGGGAGATCAAGAAAAGATGCACATCTCCAGATGGCAAAATCTGCAGCAACAGAGGTGTGTCATTCGCATATTTTATGTGTGCATTTATTCTGCACTAGGACAAAGGTCATAATTTTTAGAAATAGTTTTTGGTTTTACTCTCCTTTCACTTCTGGACATGAATCTTTAAAATTTGGCATCTGTGTATATGTGTGTATACATAAACATACATTTATGTATGCATGTATGAATATATTTGTGTATATGAATACACATATTTCCTATTATATACATATGTGTGTAAATATGTATATGTAAAATATGTATTTATAAGATGAAATTGACCCAAGAATGGGAAGTCCCTTTCACCTCTTGCTCCTACAATGAGGCTGCACTGGATGGGTAATGGGCAGATAACTCATCCTGGGTTCCCCAAACCCCTGAATATGGGCTATGAAAGAACAGTTGTCATTATTTCATCTCAGAACCTGGAACAGCAACCAAAGAGGGCCTGCTCATGGCCTTGGAAGATAGATTTTTTTAACTACGTGTAGTTCTTTGCACAAAGTCCAATCACTTGAATTTCATCCATAATTTCCATTTAATTTTGCCAATTTGGGAAGAAATAATGAAAAAAATGAGATTTGTATTCACCAGCTGCTATACTTGGCTTCAGTGAACAAATAGTTCAAAGTGAGAATGTTATTCCTTTGGCTGCAATCCAGAACTATTACAGAAGAGCAAAAGTGCAAGTCTCATAGAAACCTTTCTTAAATATATCTCTACTGACAAAACCTGCTATAGTATGAGCACCTAATTATCCTGAGAGCATTTAGAAAACCCTCTCATCTTAATTATGGGGAAATTGAAAGCTTGGCTCAAATACAGAAAGAATGTAGGCTCATTTAATTTTTGGGCTTTAACTTTAAAAAAAACCTTGTGTAATACAGGAAACAATAAATATAGAAACATTATGTGTCAAATTAGATATTTTATTTGCACTGTAATAATGATATCTTACCAAAGGGAATTTTAAGATGTGTTACCTAGCAAGCATTTCTTTATCGTTATACTGGAGCAGTGCAAATGAGTGTAACTGGTAGCTGCAAACTTCTGCAGGATGCACAAGGGAACTACCTGCCCAATACTATTTCCAGAATTCTTTTTAACTTTTCACGTATTTATGATTTTGTCCACATGAAACTTCAGGATGCCTTGACTTTATAAAGCTATTTCTACTCACTTTATTAATAGGTTTTTGATCAGTGTTCCCAGTTTACATATTTTGATATATACTGAATATCTAGGAGAGCTGATGCAAAGTCACTCTAAAAATTTACTGTTTGGGATTACACCATCATTACATAATTTTTCCACTCTAAGAGTTTAACATTCTTTTCACTGAATGAACTATGTAAGTGTCCATAATATCGATTCATCCAGTCCAGTTCTCTTCAAATACATCCTATTGTTGTAGTGGAGGGTGCTGGTGGCTGCAGCAAATGTGACTTTGAACTGTGGGCAATCACAGACCTTGCTGAAACTGATGGATGTGGTAGCTGCCCTTCATTCAGACTAAATGGAAGAAGCAATTAAGCTCCTTTATGGAGTAAGATAGCTGGAGACAATGGAAGCCACTGCATACATTTTTAACTAATGAGCATTGGAAACAGTGACCCTGTGCTCACAAAGCTTTTGTGAAGGCAAAACAACAAGTTTCAATTCCTACACTGATTCTTATTCATGCCCATTGGTAGCGGTAGGCCCATTTCTGCTCTGTTTTTTTCCTTAGGCACGTGTATATGTGGTGAATGCACATGCCATGATGTGGACCCAACTGGTGACTGGGGAGATATTCATGGAGATACCTGTGAGTGTGATGAAAGAAATTGCAAGGCAGTGTATGACAGATATTCTGATGACTTCTGTTCAGGTAAGGGGCATGTGTAAATGTAAACAAGATGTGTGAATTTAATTTTGGAAGAAGGAATGTCCAGTTGGCTTGCTCTTACTCCTCATTCTATTCCTTTAGTGTAATTTTTGCTCAGCAGACATTAGGGCTCATACTCTAATTATTTTATTGGAAGTAGGTAGGTTTTTTAAAATAAAAAACATGCTATTTTGTGAAACAATTAAATGAAACTAAAAATCTTTCATCTTTATTTTTTCCACAAAACATACTTTTTGACCAGCTTGGCTAAATATGAATGAAGGAGCCCAACTGTAAGCACCCATTTGTGTTATGCTAAGTACATCGTGTTCAACATAGCATGAACAATTTGAAGAATGACTGAAGCTGTTAACTGTGGATATACTCTACCACACAGATTGAAACTTGCAGGGTCACTTCTAGATGCTGCAAATGAAGAGACAGAGGGGAAAAATAAAGGAAAAACTAAAAGAATCCACATTTGTTATTAATGCAAGGTGGTTGGTAGAACATAAAAAGTGGTATGGTAGTGACTTTAGTATCAATACAGGAAATATGTATTCCTATTAAATGCTGTTGAATCTACCTCTGAACTGTACCTTGCTGCTCCTCAGAATATTCAAGATACTCAAAATGCCATTCGAGAATGTGGGGTATAACAAGAAGATCTTTGCTATTTGCTAAGATAAGAAAATAAAATGGGAAAAGATGAGAGCATTTCTCAGGACCAGACATCTAGAACTTCAGTTGTATGGGTGATCAGCACAATATTTTAATCCTTGTTGAGAAAGAATAACACCTAACACAGTCCTACCCCATGTCTGGAGGTTCAAAAATTCTTTCTCAGCTACCAACATCCTCATGGTTTGTTGACTGAAAAAGGATTGATGCCCCAGCTTCCCAGAGACACTTGGTGGAACTCTGGGGAAGATGATGCCTCTTCATTTTTATCCAATTACCATAAATACGATGAAATTAGCACTAAACATGAGGAAGACTTTGACTAAAACATTGCATGTGTTTTGTGCACCAAGGGACTCTACAGAAGCACACATTTTGCAAAAGCAACTGAAGGCAGCTTCAAAGGGACTTGACAGATTACAGTCTGACACTAATACTGCAGTATTCTGTGGAAATCTGACTTGACCTAATTAAGAAAAAAATTTGGAACCACACAAGAACAAAATAATTTTTAAAAATCGCTTCTGAAAAGTTTATAGTTTCCCTCCCTCTCCTCCCCCAGCATGATTGATCCCAAATCAAAAGATCACAAAAGGAGCCTAGAGCAGTAAGAGGAGGCTGAAACTGAGATGGTGAAATGTAACCCTCTAGTCCTTTCTTCTCTACTAATGATAAATATGAAGATCCAGATTTCTTAACCACAACTATGTTTGAAAAACAATGTTGGGACTAGCACTGGTCAGAAAAGGAGAAAAAAAGATCTGCATTTGTGAAAATGTTTTATGACTTTTTTTCTTCCCACTTTTTTGGTTGAAATTTTGATCAGCTCTAAGTGTCTAACACTTAAACAGAAAACAGGACAATTGAATTCAGGATATTGTCCATCTTTAAGATTTACTACTATCAGCATCAATTGAGTTTTACCACACTGCGATTGATTTGATTGAAACTTTGTTATATTCCACTTGTAGAAAAAGCAAATAATTTGGTAAAAGTGTATCAGTAGCTAAGGGTAAATACAAAAGAGGGTTATGTCTAACTAGATTACAGGCTTTGCATTTGTGTTCTTATATTCAAGGCCTTGTTTTCACAAACTGTGCAAACCCCTAGCTTAGATACAGTGCACCAATGTAAACTGACTTTCAGTAGTATGACTTACCCCAGTTCAAACTAGGGTACTTTGCATCTGTGTAAGTCATTGCCAAAATCCATAATGTGGGAAAGCACTTAAAAAATTCAAGCTGTTAATTTTTGACAATATATTTACTGTTTTATGTCTGCAGAAAAACAGTGCTTACAAAGGGAATCACAAAGCATATGTGCTATGTTTCTTTTCAAAACTGTTACTTTTTTAGGTTTTAACAAGTTTTTTTCAGTGTTTTAGTAAAAAATCCACTGGGGTTTACTTAGATTGGGGAAAATCCAGGCAAAATGGCAAACCTGATAGACAATAAAGGGAGCTGAGCTGGTTCAAAAGTTTCTCATGTTGTTCTGCCTGCCTAATTGATAGAGGTAGGAAACCTTTCCTGTCCAGATTAGTGGACTGGAATCATAGAAACCCTGTTGCAGATAAGAATTTTACTGTGACTGAATGAAATGCCACCAGTCATTTCAAAGACTTTACCATGGGAATTGGGAGCCCTGCTGCTAAGGCTTAACATCACAGAAGGGTAGCTCCCGTAAGAGATTTCATGTTGCCTGGGGGTGATTGGCAATTTACAGTACTTCATGTTGCCAACTGGATGTCCTCTTTTAAAGAGTTTAATGCTGTTTGGTATCTGCGTGATCTTCACTTAGAGGTGTTCACATTGTCAAGGGACTGTCCTCCTTTAAAGATAATCATGTTAACATCCTGATATAGAAAGAAAAAAACAACAGCAAAATGAGCCTTCCCATATGAAAACATCCATATTCACATATAGACTATGTGCTGCTGTCTTGTTTTAGCCAGAGAGAGTTAATAAAGTGAATTTAGCCTTTCAGAGATGCACATCTGGGCCACAGGGGCATATGGCCAATGCTCAGCCTGCCAGCAGGTGCACAAAAATAACAAGGGACAGAAGAGCGGCCTTTAGCATTTTTAAATGAAAAACAATTAACAAACATAAAGAAAAATCACCTCCTGTGCACCTACAGGATGGCAGCTGGTCTGCTGGCCTTTCTGTCAGCCGAGGGAGCTCCTTGGCCCCCGCCTCCTCCAATTTTCTGCATGTAAACTAGTAAGTGCATACATTTTAGACATATAGTATTTGCAAGTGTAAACATTTCAATGTAGTCAGACTAGATCTATAAAACATATGTGCTTATAGTTTGCAAGAAGAAAACCAGATTGGACAGTGGACAAAAGAAGAGTGGTTTGGACATAAAGCAGTGGGTGGTGACTGGCTGAGGTTCTTGGGAGCAGAGCTGGCCAGGGAGCTGGTCTAATGAAACAAGCATTTATGCCCTGTTTCAAACTTTACTCTGCTGCTGAAGAAAGATGTTGCTGATTGTCACAGGGGTTCAGTGTGTAATGGGGGGGGGTTGCCCCCTTTTGAAATCATGATGTCATATCAGACATGGCCCACTGAGTCACCTCTTCTTGCCAGGACATCGGATCTCATGGCAAATAATCCTCTGTGCTGCCCTGGCTCGCAGGGCAGTACTACTTCTGGCCCCACCCCTCAGGGATAGGGGGGACGGCAGAACAAACAAACAGTCTGGAGCAATTAGCCTCCTGGCTGGGGCTGACAATAACAGACTGGGGCCTTTGCCCTCGGGGTGGGGCAGAGCAAACCAACCATCAATGATCCCCAGTGGTAACGCCTAGTGGCAAGTGTGGGATGGGCATAAGGGAACCTGGGCCTACCCTACTCTATCGGGTTCTGGCTGAGGGCCCTATGAAGCCAGTGATCTCCTTATTGAAGATTCAAGTGTCAGCGCCCAACACATTCCTGGGTCACTTCCTACCCTTGAGTCTTCTGCGGGCTTGTCCTCCACGGGCAGCAGCTTGGTGTCTCTGTTGGCCTCTGTACCTGAGGGCGGAGGTCCCCTGTACTACCCTCATCTGCAGTCTGGAGAGCTGACGGTTCTTCAGCAGGAGCCGGCTGCTCCCGTCCATCCTCCTCTTCAGCCAGCCCCGACTGAACTGACCAGTTGCTTTTTATCTGTGCCTTTCATCAGGAGCATGTGCAGCAGGGGCAAGAGGGCGTGGCCTCTTCTGCCAAAAGTGATTGGTTACCCTCCCGCCTGACCAGTGTGGGGTTTATACACCCTGTCACTCTGATGCTCAAGCTTTCTTCACCCAATGCTTAGAATATTTTGTTCTGCCAGGCTTCTGCCCCTTTAAGTGATTGATGGAAGAAGCTAGAGTGCAAGTTAGAACTCTCTCTGCTGGATGTGCAGAGGAGATTTAATCGGATCTTCAGTCTCGCTGCCTTGCCTCCAGTCCTTCAGACAGCCCATGATGCTGACCACAAATGAGTGGTTGATGTAGGCCAGGGCAAATTGTATTCAGCATCACATAATTTCCATGTCAGTTTTTTAAAGCAGAATATACCATAAAGTAGATCTACTTTTTGAAAATAATTATTTAAATCTATTGTAGAATTGTGTGGTTTTGATAAGGGATGAAATGTTGAGTATGCCATGAACTTCATATTCTTTTTCTATGTGACATGGTATATAATATTGCAATTGTCAGTAGATTGAGTAAGGGTCTTGCACTGCAGTGTGATTTACAATGTGTTTATATATGCATTGTGGGTCATAGTAGTGTTGAACTGAAAGTGTGTGCAGAACAGAGGGTATTTGTGTGCTGGTAAGACTGAGTATTGTGATGGTAGTGATATAAAGCATGGAGAGTGGCGTTGTGGTGAGTGTGAAAGTTGTCTTATGGTTGCCTTGCTGCTAAGGGTTTTCATTGTTGTGAGAAAATAAATTTGAGTGTCTTTACTTCTTTAGTTAACAGTCTTGTGTATGAAGATTTATACTATACATCAGATACTACAGTATTTTTTAAGAAAAGAAAAACGATTCAATTCTAGAACAGGGGTCTCAAACACGCAGCCTGCGGAGCTCTTCCCTGTGGCCCACCAAGCTCCCTGCGGCCCCTCCCCCGAGTTATTTTATGTGGCAGCTAAGCTCCCTGCTCGCTGCTCCCCAATGTTTGGGGCTGGGTCTCTCCCCCGGCCCCGCCTGCCACCCCCAGCTCATGCTGACTCCACTCCGCTCTGCCGGCTTCCAGCATCACCTGCTGCCGCAGGGTCCTAGTGCCCCCATCCACTATGGCCAGGGCAGGCTGCCCTTCCCCTTCCCTTCTGCCCTAGTTCTGAGCCTCTCCAATGCCCCGAGCCTCTCCAATGCCCCAAACCCCTCATCCCCAGCCCCACAGCCCTCACCCGTGCACCCCCTCCTATCCCCAAACTTCATCCCAGAGCCTGCACCCCAGACCCCCTCCCCCTCCCCCACCCAAACTCCCTCCCAGAGCCTTAGGCAGGTGGGGGTGGAGTTTGGGGGGGGGGCAGGTTCTGGGCACCACCAAAATTTCTACAAACCTGCCACCCCTGGAAGAGGCAGAGCAGGAGTGGAGTGGTGGTGCAGCCCAGTGCAGTGGGGGGGGCTTTAACAGAAGTAAATCTAAGTGAGTGTTTTGTCCTTTGAGTGAGGTACATTACTGTTGGTGGCACTTAGCACTTTCCAGGAGGGAGGGGGAGGAGCAGGGAGCCGCGCACTCAGGGGAGGAGGTGGAGAAGAGACGAGGCAGGGGCGGGGCCTCATGGAAGGGGTGGAGTGGGAGTGGGGCCCGGGGCAGCGAGGGGGGCTGTCAGTGATGTGGCCCTCGGGCCAATGCACTAGTCCTCATGTGGCCCTCATGGTCATTTGAGTTTGAGACCCCTGGTCTAGAAACTATATGATAACACAAACAGTGTGGCAGCCATTATTATTACCATGCAGGAAATATTGATTTTAGGTGCAATGACTTGATTATACTGAACCTCTTCCCATGATAATTATTTAATAAAAGTAGAGTTTTAGAAATTAGAGACTGTGTTTATTGTCATTAGACTTTAATGTATCTATTGCCCTGATTGAGACTGACTTAGAAGACTTTAATTCTATTCATTGTAAAGGTCATGGACAGTGTAATTGTGGAAGATGTGATTGTAAAAAAGGATGGACTGGAAAGAAGTGTGAACATCCACGTTCTTGTCCATTGTCAGCTGAGGACAGCTCTAAGAAATGCCAAGGAAGCTCTAATTTACCTTGCAACGGAAGAGGTAGGTGAAGTTTGTTAGGATCTTTGTCATGCTCTCATAATCTACTTCTGATTACATATTTTCTATTCATATATTTCTTGTTTTAAAGAGCTTGAACTTTCCTTGTTGTGCATGAGTCATGTCTGCATGATTTATATGGTAGGGTGAAGGGAGAATAGAAGAAAGATTACCTGTTTTTTCCTGGCATCTGCTGCATTATACTATATTTCACTTACTTCAGTGTATTCAGTTTTTGTGGAGGAGATTTCAAGATCACTGCTATTAGTTCTTTGGTGAGGATATATTTGGAGTATGGGCCTATTCTTGCACCCTCTGCTTGGACAAAACTCCCACTGAATTGAAAGTGTCATGTCCTCAGCTTTGTAAATTGGTATAACTCTATTGACTTTGACAGACATGATAGTCTTTGATAGATATGCACCGGCAGAGGATCTGTCCCACGGACTGCAGGATTGAGCCCTATACAATAGTTGTTCTTGACAGCCATTTTCTAACTGCCTGCTCACTTTTCAGTTGCCTTTTCAAAAGCTTTGACTAAAACAATTATTTATTAACAGACTTTTATAAAATTAAGTATGCAGTTTCAGGTGTGCAGTTGGGACAATATAAACATAAATAACATGCAAGAGGGACAAAATCATCTAAAAGAGAATGGATTCCATTAGTTTTGACTTATCAGAATATGAAATATGATTCTGCTCTCAAGAGTCTAGAACAGTAAATATGATATAGACTTTTTTTAGAATTGGTAATTGAAGTTGTTATGAAGTCTGCCCTCTATAGCATTTGCTGGAAAAGGACTAAAGCTGCTCTTGAATTATTGCTCAAACCTTAAATGTCATTTAATTTATGATTGCTTCTTTCACTAATACTGTCTGCAATAACCAGGGTCAAACAAAGGTCATAAGCTATTCACCCAAGTTAGCAGTGCCACATTGACATTTGCCTATGTTTTTCTTTCACAAATGTATAGCTGTTAATAACAGTTCTTGTGCAGAACTAGTTATCTTCTACAAGAACTAGGAATTATCAGCTGCTTTTCATCAGGCTATAACGGCAGAATGTTGACCTTTTAGCAGAGAAATAGCTGTCACAAGAGGAAGTGCCTTTGGTTGTGCTGGAAAAAAATGTTTTCATTTGGCTGGGTTAGGATATTACTAATATATTACACATGTGCAGTCAGTTAACAAAAGGAATGTCTACACTGCAATTAAAAACCCATGCCAGCTGACTTGAGGTCATAGGGCTCGGGCTAAGGGGCTGTTTAACTGTCATGTTGATGTTTGGGCTCGGGCTGAAGCTCAGGCTTTAGGACCCTATGCGATGGGAGGGTCCCAGAGTTTGGGCCTATCGTTACCTCAGTTTCCAATCTGTAAACTGGGGATAATAATACTTCCCTACCTCACAGGGGTGTTGTGAGCATAAAAATCCATTAATGATTGATTGTGAGGTGCTCAGATACCGCAGTGAAGAGGGGCATATAAGCATATAGATAGAATAGCAAGAAAGAACTAGATGCTAGAAGGTGCAAGGGAATATGGGGCCTGTAAGGAGGTTTTATGGATGCAACCATGGGATTGCCTCCATCGTGTAGTAAACTATTCCTGAAATTTAAAGGTTATTGTGCTAGAGGACCTGCTCAAACATCTTTAATGTAGCGGGGCTGCTTTCCCAACCTGTTATTGGTATCCGTATATGATTTAAAGGAAACATGTTTCCTGGAATGGAATACCTTACAAACAATTTAGTTCTCTGAGTAAATTTCTTCTAGAGACTGGGTTGAGTTTTAAGAGTATTACATTTTAATTTTTTGTTGGTTTTTCAATCTGTCCCTTTTCAAACTGGATTTTTTCTCTTGTTTCTGATATCATAGATGTCTTGACTGGGATTTTCAATGGAATCAAAGAGAGTTAGGCACCCATTTCCTATTGAATTTCAATTGGATTTGGGCACCTAAATCCCTTAGGCACCTTTAAAAATCCTTGCCTTTGTTCGTGGTGTCTGTACATTACTATTTTGGTCACTTTCTTGTAATGTTTCTCTCTTACCTAGGATACAAAGAAAATAAGAGTAAATGTGCACTGCTGTATGTAGGAAATTATGCATACAATATCTTAATTTAATGGGAATTTTGTTTAGTAAAACAGTTTATCTCTGGGTTAGAAGAGGGGACCGGGAGTCAGGAGATGCAGCTGCTGTTTGTTACAGTGTCACTTGCTGTGTGTGTCCTTGGGGAATCCACTCTCTGTGCCCCAGTTTCTCTGTTAGTCAGTGGGGATCATGATACTAAACCACTTGTTATAAAACACTTTAATATTTTGGGATAAGAGGTGCTAAATGAGGACAAAATATTATGGTTATTCTTAATACCACTTGCACCACACAGAAAATTTACTCCTTAGCCATAACATGTAGAAAACAGGGAGCAGAAAATTGAAATTCATACCCCTTTCACCTTTTATATTAAATACTGATGTGTACTGAGAGTTTCATGGAGAATGTTTAAACATGAGGCGTTTTGTCATGACGTTGGATTCCTAAGATTGTTCAACTACTTTCTAAGTGGTATTTTCATGTTAAAATGTGAAATGTAAGTTAGAAATGTTTTATAATTCTTCACGTCAATAATTGCCAAAGTAAACTCTGTTAGTGGCTGAGGAGGCATTGAAGAAACATTCTATAGAAGCTTTGGCTGGCCACCTTGAGATTTTAGCTTATTTTGCAAAACTTTCTGATTTGAAAATAAAAATCATAAATCGTCCAGAAATTCAACTTTGAATTTTTAAAATCTTGTGTAAAGGAGATGCAAAGTGTGGGCCAGCCCAAGAAAAAGAAAAGGAAAAAAAAGGGGGGGGGAAGGAAATAAGCCTCTCATAACCCCATATAAAGAGAAAGTACATTGGATTTACATTACTTTGTCCGAGACTAATATTCTGCAGGTTTTAAAAAATATATGTGTATTGTGTATCATCTGTATCATATCATTTTATTTATAGTAGCTGGGAAAAAATGGGCAAAATCATCCCTTCCACAAGAATTACCTATTTAAGGGAATATAAATGTTCCTCAGTGGGAGTGAGGCCACAGTCTCTTTTCATTGTTTTCTCTTTCTCAGTTTCCCCTCCTATAAAATCGGGATATTTATCTCACAGAAATTAAACCAATAATGTTTGTTGAAGTGTTTTGCAATCTTTGAATGAAAGGCAAATCCAAAGTCTTATGTTTTATTTATTATAGACTATTGTGATATGAATATGCCTATTACAACATGGTTTGGACCAGACTGGAAGCCTAGGGGTGATTATCTGGGCTGCCATGTAGCAGACCTGAATGTGATTCCTGTTGTTCGTGTCTCAGCTAGCAGTTTTTCAGTTAATTTATAAGGCTCCTCAGCTAGGGAAGGATGATTATCTGTTTGTTTTGGGATCAGCTGGCATTGCTACAGCTTATATTGCAACACTCATTGATTTCAGGGAGATTTTTCCCTGGGAAGTGGTACCTTGCAATGAGGGGTGGTGATCTTGGGCTTGTGGATCTATTTGTAATCAATTAAATATAGACCATAAAACTCATCCAAGATTACTTTTATAACTCATTACTAGTTGGATGATTCAGTGGGCCTATGTATTTAGTATGTATATTAAAAAAAACATGTTTACATACAGTGTAGGCTGCTTTATCAAATGAGCTTTGATTTTGTTTTTTTAAATTCCAACGGGTCTAAGTTTTGGGCTAAGCACATGCACACACACAAAACTTTAGTTATAGAAAACTGCCATTTTTTTTATTCAAACATAGTGCAAGTTATTTTCTTGATTGAGCAGTAACAGAGAGGGCATCAGCCTTACAAGATAAGAGAATTCAGCAGCGTTGAGGCATGTCATATGCATGACACATTCAGAATTTGCAGAATTTAAGCTTTTATTTAATTATAAGGATTCCTATCATCACAATAAGAGAATGAAAGAAAGAGAAAAAGAAGCACAATAAAAGAAAAACTTTTAAGCATCTGGAGTAAATAAATCAGGATCTCCCTCTTTTTTCCTAAAGCCACCAAGGAATGAAAAAGGAGTTAAGAAGGAAAATTAATAAACCACAGTTTGATAATTAGACTCAGTAACACTGATGTACGGTTAGATTGTAACATTTCAATCTGCCCTGCTCTGTCCCAGGAGCAGTCCAGAGAAAGAACTATGACTCTGAGTCACAGCTCCCTTCCTGGCTTCCCACTCACTCTAGGGGGAAGCAGACTGCTATTGGAGAACTGGCTGGCATGTTGGGATAGCAGACCAAAGACCACAATTATTCCTCACCGGTGTCAGCCCACTTCTTGCCTACTTGTGTAGATGTGGGGGAGCAGCAACTCCATGGAGGATTCTCTCCCATCTGTGCTCTGACCTGTGATACAGATAACTTGTGCTGAGGAGTAAAGCGGCATTTCACACCCTCTACATCAGGGGTGGGCAAACTATGGCCCGCGGGCCACATCCGGCCCATGGGACCATCCTGCCCGGCCCCCGAGCTCCTGACTGGGGAGGCTCGCTCCCGGCCCCTCCCCTGCTGACCCCCCTCCCCCGCAGCCTCAGCTCGCTCGCTCCGCCGCCGGCACAATGCTCTGGGCAGCGGGGCTGTGAGCTCCTGGGGCAGCGCAGCTGCAGAGCCCGGCCTGACCCCGTGCTCTGTGCTGCCTGGTGGCGGCGGCGGTGGCAGTGGCATGGCCTGGTTCCAGCCGGGTGGCATGGCTGTAGCGCTGCCAGCTACCAGAGCTCCAGGCAGCGCGGTAAGGGAGCAGGGGAGGTTGGATAGAGGGCAGGGGAGTTCGGGGTGGTGATCAGGGGGCGGGGGTGTGGATGGTGGTTGGGGGGGAAATGGGGTTGAATGGGGGCAGGGGTCCCGGGGGACAGTCAGGAATGAGAGGAGGGGTTGGATGGGGCAGTGGGGGTCCGGGGGCAGTCAGGGGACAGGGAGCGGGGGTGTGTGGATGGGGCAGGGGTCCCAGA